CCCACATCACTTTAGATTCATGGTATAACCGATACGAGGACTTGTTCTCGGTCGATTTGCCTGTTCGGGACGATGCATGGAATGTGCGATTCCTACTCCGTAAACCGGGTCCTGCCGGGCACGAGCGCTATGCCGACTTTACTCTTCCCGAAAGCCCACGAGAAATTAAATTCACAGACACGGTGAGGACGTCGCATACTTTCGGTGAGCAGTCATCACTTTTCAACACTCGATTCCAGTGCCTCCAACGGTGTACACAGAAACTCGATGATTTCATCGCGCGTGTGGCATTGTCAATTGCTAGGGTGGGCGTTTTCAGCTCGGTTCTCTCGTAGAAGACCAGTTTAAATGTTTCATGTTCATCTGCGACCTAGAGTCCACCAAGGATGCTGGAATTCGGACACGTTTCCTGTCTCAAGTGCAACAGAACAACTCAGTCACACTAAGAGCTGGCTGCGGAGTGTCCGCCTACAGCTGGACACTGCTTCAGACATGATCATCATCTCGGGCAGACTCTGGCAATCACTGGGCCACCCCAAGCACGTACGGTGGTCTTTACCAGTTAGAGGGGCAACTGCATTGCTGTGTGTCCTTCTACGGCACTACTATCACTGTCACTTGCTACATGACCAAGTTTAGTTGCAACCTACTCGACCTCCACGGGGTCGAACAACTTAACTTGGTTGATATGCCGCTCAGCCTTGTTTGCAGTCAAGTGCAGATTCCTGCTCTACTTGCAGACCCCATCAAGGACATTCTTCAGCGGTCTGCTCAAGTGTTTTAAGACGGCTGTGTCGTAGAACACCCACACACGCCGTGCTACATCTCTGTCCTAGAAGTCAACCAACCCTCCGTCCAAAGGGGGCCAGTTCTGTGTCTAGCCTTGCTATTTGTCGATGTCAAACTGCAGCGCTTGGAGGAACTTGCTGTTTTGACCGCTGGGTTTTACCCCGCTTGGACTGTTCCCATCGTTGTGGTAAAGAAGCCGAATGGCTCAATCCGTATCTACGCGGACTTTTCTACCGGTCTCCCTACCGCCCTCACGCCGAACTGCTATCCGCTGCCAGTTCCCGCTGATCCGTTCACCCTGCTGAATGGTGGCACTTACTTTGGTACGTGAGACCTGACTGATGCATACTTGCATATCTAAGACGCTCCAGAGTGGCGCAAATTGCTGAAGATTAACACAGACCGCGGTCTGTTCCAATACAACAGGCTGGCCCTTGGGTTCAAGACCACTCCAGCTTTATTACAGAAGACGATGAACGCTACGCTCTCCAGCATTCCTGGTACGGCTAGGTTCCCGGACATCATCGTGGATCGCTCCCCGGCTGAACTCGAAGATCGAGTGTGTGTAGCACTTGAACGCGTGTTTCTGCTTAAGGGCCGACAAGTTTCAATTTTTCCTCGAGTTAATCAAGCATCTTGGATTCATCTTTGACCAAACTGGTCGCCATCCAGATCCTGAAAATATTCATACCATTCAACGGATGCCTGCACCCAAGGATTTATCACGACTTCGATCGTTTCTTGGCTTGAGCAGCTACTACAGTGCTTTCCTACCGTCGTTGCATGACCTACGAGCTCCGCTCAACCGTCTACTGCGGAAGGATGCTCTCTGGTGCTGGTCCCCCGATTGTGAAACGAACAAACAGCTCACGTCGACGCTGAGTTCGTATCTGCTGCTCACTTACTATGACCCGACATTGTCGATCGTCATTGCTGCAGACACTTCCAATCATGTCGCTGGTGCCGTCATTTCGTGTACTTTTCCCGATGGGTCCGAAAAAGTGATCATGCACGCATTCCGAACGTTAACCGCTCTTGAGAATAACTATGGCCAAATCGAGAAATAAGAATTAGCCATCATATTTGCCGTCAAGAAGTTCCACAATCTGCTGTCTGATCTTCATTTCACGCTGTTGACTGACCATAAACCGTTGCTGTCAATCTTAGGTTCGAAGAAGGGCATTCCAGCCTACCTACCTAGTGCCTCCACAGATGGGGAATAGTGAAACGGCCTTCAGTGAAGGTTAGCTGCGAAATAGCAGGCTCCCAGGTAGGGCAAAAAAGCAGTCACGGACCAGAAACGACACTGCTACCAGGACGTGGAGGGCTTAGGTCTAGCGCACCGTCTGCCTTATAAAATATCAATGACATGGCGGCCATGAACTACCAATAAACAAGTTTGCTTGCCACCACTGCCGTATAATTAGGTTCTTGAGAAGTAGAAGACTCGCATGTTTGCTTGTATTGGCAATTAGGTTCTTGAGCCAAAAAGGTAGATGTTCTTGAAATTTACCGCCTGATCGGACTCAAAACTTCTTTAAAGATATGTACTAAGGGATTGTAAAAACAAATAGCGCAACCCTTTGCTGTAATCCAAAACGCCAAATGCATCTCTCTGAGAGTCAAGGGTCTGTT